TCAAAAATTATGTTTGATTCTGTTTGATTTGATCAAAATCAAACTTTGAACATGACCTGAATCAAATTCTTTTTCCTAAAAATCTTGTCGGCTCTGTGTCATTTGATCTGAATCAAATTCTTTTTCCTAAAAATCTTGTCGGCTCTGTGTCATTTGATTTGAATCAAATTTTGTGCTTGACTCGAATCACAAGGAATTTGATTCGAATAACATTTTCTCTAATCCGAATCAACATGCATATTTTTTTCAAAAATAAGTTATTTCTTTCGTCCCATCTCATTTTACTCATTTGATCTAAATCATATTTTTCTTGATTCGATTCTAACCACTTTTTTTCAACCATTTTGTGTGATTTATCTCAAGCATATATAAATCATTTGTCATCATTCTGTATATAACATCAATCATTCTGTTTAGTGTGATTTAGTGTGAAAATCAATTTTCTCTGTTTTGAGTGTTCAAATTCTTGCTACGAATTTCTCACATTTTCAACCTCAATTGAGTTCAGATCTTGATAACGCGAGTTCTGAGATTGATTGAAGGAGACACGTACTTGAAACTAACTGTTCTTAGATATCTTGTTGAGTTTTTAGGTGTTAGAAAGATTGACGGATTGTCAATGGTGATGACAAATTCCATTGAAAAGAAGCAGGTTCTTCTCTCCACCATTGTCTTAGTAGTAATTGTATGGAACGCTACAGATAAAGCAAAGTTCTTCTCATATCTTCAAACAATTTCACTGTTCAAGGGATCTGTAAGATCAAGGGGTTGATAGCTACACATGAAAGCTTGAAGCATAATTGGTGTTATTGGAAGGTTCAAGAAACATATTAGCTTAAAGATTACATTGAAGAGTTTGGCAACTTTGTTGTATTCAATTCAAGATCCAAATTAGGAGATTTATTTTCTCAGTTGTAATTTTAAGTTGATGATTGTATGAACTCTTGGAAATATTTGTCAAATAACAAAGAACTATCCTAGTTCCAATGGGAAATCGTTGAAGAGAGCACATAGACCAAGCAAGGACGAACACCGAAGCACTATGAATTTCGGTGTCATCTCTCTAACTCTTACTCTTGCATTTATATTTATAGTGATTGCATGCTAGATTTTCCAATTCCTTTGTATTATATCATTTTGTTCATGATAGCAATTTATTACGTACAACTTTAGGTTTTGTTCAAATTGGACAAATAGTCAAGCTAGTATTATGATTGATAAATTTGAAAATAAATTGAATTTAGAATTCCATACATTGAATCAATTGTGTACACTTCTTTTGACTACACAAATTGAATCAATTCATAACAAGCGTTTCTTCTTTAAAATCTCGGATATTTGTGAAACAAACTATGTTTGCTTGATCATATTCAACTGTACAATTTTCATTTTCATTTCAAACCTTCTGCTCGCAACTCACTTTTGAAAACACTCTGATTTTGGAAAACGACGATTGCATTTTTTTAATTTGGGTATATTCACCCCCTCTAGACCATTTTATACTTCCATATTCACACCCAACAATATTAAGTAGCATCACTCTCCCGTCATGGAAATCTCAAACTTTTTTTGCATCATATCAGAACAGTCATTGCACAAGGAATCATTAGTAACACTGAATTTAATATCATCCACATAGATTTCAACAAGTAAAATGCCATGCTCGAGATTTTTGATAAAAAAGAGTTTTATCAACTTGACCTTTCTAAAACTTGTTCTTGAGAAAAAAAATTGCTTGCATAATTATACCATGCTCTAGAAGCTTATTTCAGACCATATAAAGCCTTTTTAAGCTTGAAGATATGATGAGGGATGGTTGGCTAATACAACATGGAGGTTGATTAAGAAATAATTTCTCGTGAATGTAATCGTTTAGCAACGCACTCTTAACTTCTCTAAGTAAGGCCTCTAAATGGGTCATATGCTCTTATTGTGCCTTAGACTTGGCGATCATGTCGTTCATATAAACTTCTAGCACATCCCCTACTTGATCCTTAAATACATTGTTCATTATGCTCTGGTATGTTACACCAGCATTTTTGAGGTTAAATGACATGACCTTGTAATATGCCATTTATGCATCTCCTGTGAATGTCATTTTGTTGCGGACAAAGGGGTCAATTGGAGTTTGGTTATACCTAAAGTATGCATCTATGAGTGATATAAGCTTGAAATGTGATCAATTATTGATGAGATTGTCTATATTTGGGAATGGGTAGGCGTCCTTTAGACAAGAACCATTAAAGTGCGAGTAATTGACGCACATGTCTACTTGTTGTTTGATTTCCGAACTAAAATCATGATGGAAATCCATATCATGTACTTTACCTCGGTTATGAATTTAAATTTTAAAAGTTTCTCGATGGTTCTCTTGTGTGCCTCAACCTTCTCTAATTATTGCTAGTGCACCGCATATGAAACATTATCTTGAAGGGCTAAAGTGTGGCAGTTTACCTCAGTGTTGAGTCATGACATCTCCTTTCTAGACATCATTAACTTCTCCTTTGCCACATATAGATCGTGATTTCTTCGTAGACACTCTGTTAACTCCTCTTGCAAAAATTTGGGTAGGCCAACCCCAAATCTAATTACTTTCAAAGGATTATACTTTACAAATATTTTGATAAAAACTTCGATTGGCTATAGTCTTCACTTTCTTTATTGTTTCTACATGCATGGCTTCCTCATCCTTCATGATTTTGTTGGGGGTGTTTCTTTAGTTTGAGTTTCTAGATCCACCGGTTCCTTAGAAATCTTGTTTAAAGAAAACTATCTTTTGATGACTGTTGTTCGGTTATGAGGGCAAGAAAATATGTACTAGATGAAGCCAAGTTTGACTTCAACACCACGACTTGGTCTGCCATGGTATGAAATTTCATTTTTAGGTGAATGGTTGATGTGACGGAACCTAGGCTGTCAATGTCGGTCTTCTTAGGATACAATTTTAGACAAAGTCATATTTAATAATTAGAAACTTTATTTTAATAATTCTTCTTTCTTCTCCAACCTAATGACATTGAGATTTCTATGTATCAAAAAGGTCTTATGTTGCTTCCATCGAAACCTTGGAGTCTCCCTCATGGTAAGGTTGTAGTGTTGGTTGTAGACCAAATTAATGTACATTACAGTGTACATGATATCGCACGAGCTCTCTTGGTCTAAAATACATGTTGAACGCCATGCCCTGTTGTCTCTATTCTGATTAGGATGGATATGTGGTGGTTTGAAAGAATGTTGACCAACTTGTCATCATAGAATAACAGTGGAGGTCTCTAGTAGGCCAATGACTTCTTAATAAGTAGACCTTTGTGAGAATTTTTTCTAGAGAGATTGCAACACCTTCCATTATAATTTTAGGATTTTTTCCCTGGCAATGTACAATGAGAAGTGTTTCTACCAATGACATTATTTTAGTGTGAGGTGAAGAAAAGAGAATTTCACTTAAAGTGATTCTCATATATGTCGTAATTGATCTGGCGTGGACCTGAGATGATTTGATGTCAAACTTGATTGTATAGATAAGATGATCTGGAGCGTAAGTACTATGAAATGCTCAAGTCACTGACTATCCAAGGCAAAAGGAAATATTTAAGGTTTAAAGAATGTATTGGTGGATTTGATGTTTATCTCCTCTTTTATAGGCCAATTCTAGGGTTTTACGAGTCTAGAACCTTCTATAGTAAAATAGTTGTCTAACAAGTGTGTGAATGTTTTATGTGTTATGTAAACTAACAACTTTACTTAAATCATTCACCTTGATTAGGTGTTTCTTTTTGGAAGAACTTAGTGCGTTCCTGTGTCTCAAAGATCCTCTTCTTCAGGACCTTTATTCTCTGTATATGTGATCTTATAATCTCGATCTAACGGTCTCAAAGGTTGTGGATCAAATAAAATCTTCTTCTTTATCACAGACCAACATTTTTATTAAGCCCTTGTAAATTAAATAAATGATAATTTTTTTGTTGTAAATTACTTAATTATTTATTTTGAAAAAAATATATTGATTATTAGAAGCGTTGTCAAATTCAATTTTTCATAATAATTCATATTTATTTTTATTTTCTTTGTGTTGCTTTAATTCATGTTTTACATAATAAAAATTTATTGTAATTTATTTTTTATAAAAATTTCATGTTTTACATAATAAAAATTTATTGTAATTTATTTTTTATAAAAATCTATTGAATTATAAATATAAATAATAACATGTTAATATTAATAAATTTATTGTTTATTAATTAAGTTAATATATCAATTTAAAATTTAATTTAATTTCTTTATATTTTCAAGCATAACAAGAGTCACCAATTGTACCACGAAACTACTTTCAAGTTGCAATCCAATTTCGTCACAATCCAAAGTTGTTGAATTTTCTTTAAAAAATTGCAATCCAAGTTTGCAACAATCACTCCCTAGATGATAGAATGTTCAACTTGTGTGTATTTTTAACAGATAAAAAATAAACTATTTTCGATTAACCCAAAAAAGGAATACTAAGTCAGAAAATAAGAAATGAAGCAAAACTAACACAACCGCGCCAGGTAGGGGTCGAACCTACGACTTTCTGCTTAGGAAACAGACGCTCTATCCACTGAGCTACAGGCGCTACTTGTGTTAATTTTCATCTTCAAAGACTCTTAGTAATAACAATGTTGAGTTCAGCTTACATGTGCTATAGTGTATTTATAACCTATTATGATTTTTTCACTGCATCTTCATGTAAGAAAACCAATAAAATAATTTAGCTGCTTAACCTTTAGGCCTTATAATTCAATTCATAGAAAATGATGGGATGCTATTATTTCTTATCACAAAATTTATCCTTCAATACTCAATTACATGATACATTATATAACATACATAGGAACATCATTTGGATCCATTTAAAAAAAAACAAGAAAACTGAAAGATTATAGAGTTTGGAAACATATGTTCAAAAGACTGAACCATGCAATCAAATGTTACAAAATGAGAATCAAACATGAATCTCAATACCAACTTTAAAGGAAAACACATGATCTGTTCTTCTTTCTTTTTTTCTTTTGCTTTGGAGGCTGCAAAACTACCTTGATTGCAGCATCAAACACAGCTTTCACATTCTGAAATATTAAAATTTGTCTATAGTTATAATTTGCATAAAGTAATAACTATATATTATTATACATTAAGAAAAATATCAGAACCTGTTGAGTCTTTGAGCTGCATTCTAAGTACACAGCCGCACCAATTGCCCTCTTCAGCTCTTCTCCCTGCCCAAAACCATAAAAATTCCGACAATTATTTACCACAGTTATAATATCAAGATATCTCAAACCGCTAGATGAAAATCAGACAACTCGTATTCTATTATAACTAAAACAAAATTTTGAATACGAGTTGTCTAATTTTTATCACTGGTCGAGATCTACAATTGCCTTACTACAGAGAATGCAAATTCTACGACATACCTGGGCAGTAGTTATAGGTGTTGCTCCAGGATGATCAATCAAATACTGTCTATCTTCCCTCAAATCTACAAACCAATAAATGAAAATTAAAAATAAATTATTAAATGATCACGAAGTCTCAAAATTTAGCATTAATAAATAACACCAAATTTTAGCTCCTACCAAGTTTTGTTCCCACAAGCACAATCGGAACAGTTGGAGCATAATGTCTCAATTCAGGAATCCACTGCATAAAATTAACCTAGTATAAGATTCTATTGAATAGAATTAAACCATTTCACAATTCACTAGTGAAAAAAATGTATAAATTTTCTTTCACAAGAACCTTTTTCGAGATATTCTCATAGCTGGCTCGACTGAGTAGCGAAAAGGCCAACAAGAACACATCTGCTCCTCTATAGCTCAAAGGCCTAAGCCTGTTATAATCCTCTTGTCCTGAATTTATAAATCAAATATTAGTAATACTAGTTATAATATTTATAGCACCGATACTTCTGATCGAATACGTGTTTGCATGTTTGTGTCTGTGTTAATACTTCGTAGGTTATAACTTATAATACTTACCAGCAGTGTCCCATAATCCAAGATTAACTGTGCTACCATCAACCACAACATTTGCACTGAAGTTATCAAAAACTGTAGGAACATAATCCTTAAAAAAAACAAAAAAACACCAAGTGAATTTTTTATCAACCAAACAAAAACTAAATTTACATGTCAAAGAAAAAAAAAACATTGTAATAATACCGTAGGAAATGTGTTGCTTGTGTAAGAGATAAGCATACAAGTCTTCCCAACAGCTCCATCTCCAACAGTAACACATTTGATGAATCTTGCTGTACTCATTTTCACACACACACACCCTTTCTTTTTCAAAATCAAAGATTCAAACTTTTTCTCTACTATGTTGTTTCCATCACTGCATGGTTTGTTCTATTATATTTCTTTCCCTAGAAAAAAAATTTGAACTAAAAGTGAAAGAAAAAAAACGAAAAGAAGAAAGTGTAGTGTTTAGAAAGAAAAGGGTGAGGGGTGTGAATTTGAATTTTGAATAGAAAAGGAGGGGAAGTGAAGCATTTAATAAGGAAAGTTCTATGTCACCAACTTTAGTGTGGCATATTTTAAGATTTTCATTATTGCAATTTGGCTTTCTGTTTCTTTAAGGGGAAGGACAGAGTTTTGGATGAGCAAAAAATTAGTTGTTGTTTGGTGTTCTAGTGGTGTTAGTTGGTTAAGTATTGTACAAGGGAGATATAGTGAATAATTATTAGTACTTAGAATATGAATTTTTTTGGTTAATTAATGCTTAAATAAGAAAGTTAGAGTAATTGATTATAGATAGAGGAAAATAAAAGTTCATTGTGAAAATTTAATGTTTTGAGTTTGGATAGTACCAAGTTGGTACAAGTGTTATACAGCTACCAAAATGCAAAACAGTATATTACTTCTTCTCCCACAAATTTTTTTATTATGTTAACTTAGTTTCCTTAAGCTAGACAACAGCTCCAATAAGCATAGTTTTATAATCATGATTTAGTACCAAAAGGTCAAGTTCAACTCTGTTTTGCAAGATAACTATAATTCTTGTGAATATATCTCATGACACAGAATACAAACTAAGCTTATATCTTCTTTAACAAAGAGCAAATCATGCCCCAATTGAAAACTAAGTTACCTGTAAAGCAATATCCAATTATTTCCTTTTCGGTGCTCACCAATATTGAATATTATTAAAAATTACATTTTATTTTATTCATTTAGAATATAATTCACAAAAAGTTATGTTCTGAGTCCATAATATGCTTTATAATATATCATGAAAATCATTTTATTTTCGAGTTTATTTTGATCTCTTAACTTAAAAAATAAAATTTAATTGGTGTGCACCGACAGTGTAAAATTATTTTATACTGTCAACCAATCATTCTCATGTATCCCGTCGCATCAGACGGTAAATTTTAAGTTATTGATATGATATGACAGATTAATAAATTCTTATTAGATAACAATATAAAATTATTTTATATTGTCAGTGCATATCAATTAAATTCTAATATATATATATATATATATATATATATATATATATATATATATATATATATATATATATATATATATATATATATATATATATTTTTTTTTTTCTTTACTTTTTTGATCTAATTAGTGACTAATTTAACATTCTATTTATTAATTTTTTTTCTAATAAGACGAAAACGATTAACATGATACATTTTAAAGAGTAAAAGAATTAATATGATTTTTTTTAAAGTTAAGGAAACAAAATGAACAATAAGGTTAACATTCAAAACAAAAAGGATATTAAGTCTCACATATATATATATATATATATATATATATATATATATATATATATATATATATATATATATATATATATATATATATATATATATATATATATATATATATATATATATATATATATATATATATATATATATATATATATATATATATATATATATATATATATATATATATATATATATATATATATACTCTCCATACTACTGAAGTATCCGAGTCAAAGAGCAAAACAATTGAGCAATAAACATGTATGTGTCTGCATCCACACTTCTTTCTTAGTCTTTTTTGTTTCCTTAGACGAAATATTGTACTTTTTCTTTTACTTTGTTTAATGTTATTTAGTGCACTTTACCTTATCTTTTATCACAACTTGACTTCATTTAAAGTCTTTTGCTACGCTGCTTTTAATTCACACACACGTGTGTTAACACAAAGTATTTGCACAGATTGCTTTGGAGATATTTTGAGTTAATATCATATATTTTCAAACTCGTGATTGTTTATCAAAAACACCGATAAACACCTGATTACGTTGAAATCCACTCCTCTTTCATCTTTGTCAATAAGCACATATGAGGTTATTGGTATTGAGGCAGTCTTTGAATCTTTCATCTCTAAGTCTTAAGAATATCTAGACAATACTTCGTTTGACTTATGAAAGCCCTTTCTTCTCCTTGCTTAATTTGAAATCCTAAGAAGTATGTTAACTTTCTCATAAGTGACATATCAAACTCCCTATGTATTAAACTAGCAAATTCTTGACAAAGAGATTGATTAGTAGACCCAAAAATAATATCATCTACATAAATTTGAACTAAGAGAATATGCTTTTCCTTATGTCTTATAAACAAAGTGGTGTCAACTTTCCCACGATATTGATCAAATATCCACTCAATCTCTCATATAAAACTCTAGGAGCTTGTTTGAGACCATAAATGGCTCTTTTCAACTTAAAAACATTATTAGGATTATCGTGATCCTCAAAAACCTGGAGGTTGTGAGACATACACCTCTTCATTTATATGACCATTTAGAAAAGAAAACTTAACGTACATTTGGTAAAGCTTAAAGTCTAGGCAGCAGGTGAATGTCAAAAGGAGTCTAATGGCTTCTAGGCCGGCTAAAGAATCATAAGTGTCCTCGTAGTCTATCCCTTCAACTTGATTATGTCCTTTTTCTAAACTAGCTTTATTTCTCGTAATTACCTCATTTCTATCCATCTTGTTCCTAAATACCAATCTTGTACTTATGACGGTTTTATCAACTGGACGCAGAACAAGGTCCCAAACGTCATTTCTTTTAAATTGGATTAGTTCTTCTTACATAAAAATTAACCATCCCTCGTCAAGTAAGGCATTCGATATCGATTTAGGTTCAATTTGAGAAATAAAAGTAGAGTACTTGCATAAATTGTTAACCTGTGACCTGGTACTTACTCCACTTTTAATGTCTCCCAAGATTTGATCTAACAGGTGATCCTTTGCAATTTTCCAATCTCAAGGCAGCTGGTTCGAGGTCTCTTGTTTGTCATCCTCATATAAGCTTTCCTCTTTATCTTTTGTAATGTCCTTATCCTTTATTTTTGGATCAGAATCCTCTTTTAAACTTCCGTTTTCAATCAATTTTTCCGTTATTATACCCAAAACATCAAAACAAATACCCTTCTCCAATTTTTGGGGTGAGGACTCATCAAAAGCACCATGAATTGACTCTTCTACAGAAAAGTCCTATGATTGTAAATCCTATAAGCTTTACTCGTAGATGAGTACCTTGAGAATATACCTTCGTCGTATTTTGCATCGAATTTTCCAAGGTTGTCTTTCCCGTTATTCAAAATAAAGCATTTGTAACCAAAAACTCAAAAATATGAAATATTAGGTTTTCTACCCTTAAGTATCGCATAAGGTGTCTTCTCTAGGATAGATCTTACGATTACCCTACTTAATACGTGACATGCAATGTTAATCGCATCCGTCCAAAAATATTTAGGTAGACTCATCTTATTTATCATAGTCCGAGCTAGTTCTTCCAAAACACGATTTTACGCTTTACAACACGATTTTATTGCACTGTTATCGCGGTAGGGTGATCCTGCACAAACTTTAATCACCTTCCATTTTTGTTGATCAACATTGTGTTTTCTAGTATGTTGGATCCATTCATCAAGTAGAGCATTCGTAGGTGGAACATAAGTCTTTCCTTGAATCCTCCAACGACGTGAAAGCTCCTGGTATTTCTTGTAGGGAACTCCTTTTTTGTTCAAAGCGAATTAGGGAATTCTTTCACCCCAAATGGTTTTCCCTGGTTGCTAAGGCATGATATTCTCGAGGCTTTTCGTTGTCTCTTTGTCGAACACTTCATTGTTGTGAGGACATATCATTACTTCAGAGCCTTTAATTTTGCACAAGTTTAAAAATTTGATTGACTTCTCATCATCCTTTAGATAGACCACTTTAATTTTCTCAATGTAGTCTTTCATAGTCACCTTCTTAAACTATGTTGAGACCCTCAATAGTCTCAACTATCATGATTTCTACAAGCTCAACCAAATGTGCCTCCTAGACTTAGATTTGCATTGTTGGCTTTAGATTTTTCCACAAACTTCAGCCTACCATTTTTCAATGCATCTTGCACCAATCCTTGAAAAGAATACATTGAGACGTTTTATAACCAAAGAAATTATGATGTTTACGAAAACCTTTCTTCTTTGTTATAATGGTGGTGTCTTTAGGCCTTTTGGCACTATGACTTAGCCATCGGTAACTAGAAAATTAAACGTTTCATCACATTTGGTTACATCGAAAGTATGAGTTTTTGTAATAAATTTCTCATTTCTACTTGGTTAAACATGGTTCTTACCATTTGAAGTTCTTAAGACCTTAAAAACATACAGAGGTCTTGGCTGCAATTTTGCAATATTAATCTCATTTTCATCAACATATTCAAAAACTATGTCGAGTTCTTGATTATTATCATTTGTCTCTACATAAGCAATCTTTTATTTCCTAGGGTGTCGATTTATTCTAGACTTTTATAATCTAGACTTCTCATCCTTCAGGTGTTTGACCTGCCTAACCCTATATGCTAATTGGGCCATATCCCTTAGGTATTTGGGTATCTAACTTCTTCCTAATGGAATAATCTAATCCAACTGCAGTCATTTCGACCAACTAATGTTCAGGAACTTGGGTAAAACACCTTGACTTTATCATATGAACCTATTGAGATAATCATATATTGGTTCATACAATTTTTGTTTTATACTAGCTAACTCTTTCAGGCCAATTTTCGATGACCCATATAAAACCACTCATGGAACACTCTCTCTAACTGACTCCAATTATGTATGGAGTTTGGAGGGAGAGTAGTAAACCATGTAAAATCATTCTTGGTCAAAGAATTATGAAAACATTGCATCTTTAGATTTTCATTATTAGCCATATCACTAGCTTTTGTCTAGTATCAAGCAATGTGTTCGACAGTAGAGTCGCTAGTGTCACCTAAATATTTAG